AAAAAAAAAAAAACAAACCTGAAACTCAGAGCATTTAAAAATGCAAAACATAGACAGTTTTCAAATCCTTTTACATGTAACTAATCCACTATCCAGTCACTACAAGCATTCACATTTTCATGTTCACAATTCAGGTATAGATTTGTCTGAACCAATGATGTTCAAAAACATAAGTTAAAATGTTATTATCTTTAGCAATAGTATTTTCAGCTTTATTTCAAGTTTATTTGTTTTTCTGGGCTTACAGATACTGCTTTCATTAACTTCAAAGTAATACCGAGGTATTCTTTAAAAAAGCAGTTAATATAAAACAGGTATAGTAATAAAGCATGTTATTCGGATGTACCTAAAACAGAGTGTATAACAGTGGTTTAGCTATTCACAAAAACAAGCAAACCTGTATTGCTCTCAGATTAAGCAAACACAAAGAAGCAGAGATTTTTGAAATACAGACTAAATTGTTAAATTCAGTGTTCCACCCCCTTCTTTCTGCCTCCACTGAAAGTAAGTCACATCCAACACAACAGCTTAATTAAAAATTTTGCTACCCTTCTCATGTATGGCCATACAGGTAAACTATATATCAAGGGAGAAAGTAACCCTGGTTAGGCAATGGGCAACCTTCTGATGTCAAAACTATGATTTAAATCTTTTACTCTTAGTTAAAAACACATACAATACCAAAAGCTGCCAAGTTGCAGGTTGAAGAATACTTTCCTTCAAATTATCCTCCAAGTATTCAACCTCAGTTACAGCAACAGACTACTGTCTTAGATACAAAAAGGCAGCAACAAGTTCAAAATTCTACTCTGTTTCTATTTGATGACTTGCAATTTTACATTTAAGAGACTTACAGGAAAATCTAAGTAATAACAACTTAAGAGGAAAAAGCTGGAGATAGCAAGAATTGTTTCACTGATTGTTCTATTGGTATTGTTACAGATTCTTCCTTTAGGTGACCTGCACATGAAAATAGCAACAGAGCTTTAAAACCTTATTATTACACTGTTTTAAATCTGTTTAGTTTAGGAAGGCCAACACAATATGATATTTCAGCCAGACCTGAAGATACTATCCATGTCGTTGATGTTCTGGTAAATCTAGTATTATATTTGGTTCATCTAGTAATACTGCTACAGTCAAACAAGCTCACATTGCTTATACAGGTAAAACTAAGCTTTTCAAAATGTGATTTCAGTTGTTTGATTAGTAAATCTAAAAAGCTTAGGAATCACTTTCTCAAGGGCATTTTTATTGCTTTCAAATATTAGTCAAGTTTACCTTTTTCTTTTTCTGAAGCACATGATTAGGTAGCAGTTGGTGAAGTTGCTTACGTTTCACATGCCTTGCAGCAATCTTCATATCCATCTCAAACATCTTGCTGTTTATTGCTTGCCTATAAACTACACAATTAGAACAACATTAAGACATATTGAAGCATTTTGCAAAGTCCACTTACTTGCCCAGGCAGAAACAATTTGCACTTCAGAACATTTATTACCCTCAAGAAAAGCACAGCGTTTCCTTGTTCTGGAGGAAGAAAGTGAAGGGCCTACTATACTAGCACTGATAGTACAAACACCAAAATGCTACTTTGGAAACAGGTGACCTGTTTTCCAAGAAAAATGTCTTGCAAGCAGGCAGTTCTCTAAACTATATTGTTAACAGGTTTTAACAGTAACAGCTCTGAAGTTACTGTTTCATCTCAAAGGGACTAAGATAGATTTCCTCATAAGAATTACAGTTGATCCAGCCTTTATTTATGCAGCTTCTACAACAAATGGGTTCCGATTCAGGAGTTGAATGCTTCTGTGCCAGCTAATACATTACAAATCATTCTGGCAACTCAGCTACCACTACATTTTTGTATTTATGATTGTGATTTATGTTTGTTTTTTCTGCTGTGTTTTGGGGTTTTTTTGTTGGTTTGTTTTGTTTGGGTTTCTTTTGTTTGGTTGTTCTTTGTTTTTTTTAAATTATGTGTCTACTATAATGAGCTATTTCTCTTCACCTCAGAACATTTACTTCTGGTGAGTCAACATGGTTAGTGCTAGTAAAGGAACTATACTGCAACGCAAGACCTCAGGTTCAAGTAAAGCCAGGTAAAAATGAAAAAGTTGTTGTTCTTTCACACCAACTTTCTGTACAATGTTGAACAAAGCTGTGGCAGGCATATGAATAAAAAAAATTGTTCTGTAGATCTTAAATACAAAAACTTAAGAGGTATCTCCCTTATTCACTGACTATTCTACAAACCTTAAGGAATTTCACTGAACAGGCTGTGAATGTGTAATTAAAAATCTGTTAAGAGACACACACAAAAAGCTCAATGAATAGTGCATATTAAAGAGCCTACTACGCTAATTGTTGGTATTGGGTATTGAAGAAGCTCATAAAGCCTCCGTTTAAAGATTATACACATTTCAGTTAAGGTAGGGGCACACTCAGGAAAGCCAGACATGGTTAAAGCATTCCATATTCCTGACACCAGGTGTTACCAAAGTTTCAGTACAAGGAAAACCTAGCCCACTCTTCATGGCTCTTTTCCTCCCTCTGCTCCCACTAAAAAGCAACCTATTCCCTAATTTCATGCTTGAAAATGCTTCGGTAGTTTTGATAAAATCTTAGTATCTGTTCCAAAAGACAGGGCAAACAGAAGTTTTCAGGATGGATTAAAAACAATTAAAAACCCACATTAATTTGAGATGACAAAGAAACCCACAACACACACAGAAATTGACTGCTATTTGGTTACCATTGGAAGCGTATTTACAAATTGAACAGAAAACTATTCATAACACTCTACAATGATTTTGATGAAATGCTACTTCATTTTAAATTGCATGTTTAGACAAATTTCAGGTTTGAATGTAGTGCAAGTAAATCACATTCAAAATCTTAAGTGCAAGTTTTAGTATTTTCATACCAAGTCTCTGACAAGTATGCTACTGAAATACCTGTTTATAAACAAAAGACTTGAGAAACTAACTCACAGATTCCTTCACTCCTTTAAAGCAGCAGCCAAGCTATTATACCTTTTCTAAACCACCAAAAATTAGGATGTGTCTGTAGTTTCACCTTCACCACTTATAATCAAAAGAAATATTCCACCTCTCAAGAAAATAAAATTCCCTTTGACTGAAAAAGGCAGAGAGATATATATATTATTTACATATACATGTATATACACACATACAGAGACCCCCCACTGCAGCTATATATAACAATAAAGACCTTGGCATGATTTACTTAAAAATATATATATATGTATATTGATATTATTTTCACTCATACACCCACATGGGGCAGGGGGGTGTACAATTTCCTCACTTCCAGTCTTACCGAGTCTTAGAAATCCAGAGACCAAGATTGCATTAGGTAGCACTCGAACCTATTCCTTTACCTCTGTAAACATGTAATACTTGAGCCTTAACTGTCATTTGTTTAAAAAAAGATATTGCAAATTTATTAGATAAGCCTGTCAAAGCTACTGTTCCTTGCTTAGTCTTAGACTCTGGAGAGTCACACTCTCCAGCTGTTACCAATTATTTGCTTACAAATTTCTTATGTGTGCTCTAAATTATTTTCATGAACCAAAAAGTAAACATTGGAAAAAGTCACAAAACTTTCTTGCAGTGAGTGTTGGACGTGAAAGTAAAAGTTACTGAACCAACTAGCTAGTATGAAACGCCATGGAATAAAAGGCATTTTGGTCTAGAGTCTACTAGATACTCAGCTTTAATCCACTCATAAATTCAGTTTCACCAAGTAATAAAAATATTTAAACTATACACATATTGTCAAACTGAGGTTAGGCTAGGTAGTTTGTATATGATAATCAATTTGTCTGTTTAATAGAGATCACAATATAATGTACCATTTTTAGTGAGATCTGAAAGATCTGTGTGCATCATTTTCAAGTTTTAATGAAAAGAAACTGAAAAAGATTAGTCTGAAGTGTCTAGAAGCATTAAAACTCATTAAAACTGTATTTCATTAAATAACACCCTAACGCCTTAGCTGAATCCTTTACTCTATGTCTAGATACAATTCTTCTACTGAAACAGACTACATTATGAACAAAGACAATAACTTCAACAAGTTTATTAATACCAGAACATCTAGAAAGCAAAACTCACCTGTGTCGGTAAAAGACTGAATGTCGTAGGTAAGATCAACACTTAAATTTTCAGAATTTTCAGTTTTCTTAAACACCAACCCAATCACCCACATTGTACGGTATTCTTCCCTGGAAAATTTTATATAAAACAGTCATATAATACTGACAGAACTGAATAATCTCATAAATTATCTGCTGCAACAGACAACAGTTGTGCATTTTAGCTCCACTAGCAATGGGGAGCCAGCCACAGAAAGGCAAAAAACGAAGCTGACTTAACAACATTCCCTTTTCATTTGCAATACAAAGAGAGTGATGAAACACTGACACATTTATCTCCAGCAAACTTAATGAACTAAGATCATCAGTAGATTACTTCATTCAACTGTGCTTCTGTATAGATGCTCTAATTTTTAGGAGTTACAACTAGACATCACAACTGTAAAGGAACTAGATTTGAAAGGAGATGACAGATTTTCAGCACCTGACCCTGAAAGTAGTTAGAACCTATTCCCTGACTACAAAACTTCCATTTTGCCACCTAAACTTGTCTTCAGCTCTCCAACTTCTTAGCTGTAACTGACTGAAGTGCAGTTTTCAGGTAAGAAGAGCCTCCCTTTGACAGCTCACCTTCACATAACATACAGGGAAGATAAACTGTTACATTCTGTAATAGAATATAGTGTAACACTTCTATAGCAGCTCAAGACATTCAAACGTCTTATCCCTGTAAGACTATTTCAGAACAACACTGTTATCCAATCAATCAATGAACAAATTTAGGCAGGCAGGTGAAAGAACATACGTTGTTTACATTGGGAAAATAACCTTTCCTAAAAGCATTGCCCACATCAAGCCGTCTGAAATAAGAGCTAATCGGACCCTGTGATTATGCAGGCAGTTGTAGCTGTATTTACCCACTAAAATGGTGCTGGAGAGGTACTGCTGGCTTTTGTCCAATTTCACTTGGAACATGCATGCAATTTATATATTTAAAACTCTGAAAAATAAGTAGCACCATACTGTCACTTGAAGCAGTTGATATCTGGAAAATGCTGTGTAGAAGATAGACAAGGCTTTTCGCATATTCCCAGCGAAGGCAAAAATTTCTTCCCCATTCTCACAATTCACACAAAAATATAATTCCTTACAAGTTAATTACAACACTATCTAGAAATAAAATAAAGTCTTAAAAGGAGTTTTTAGCCCACACACCTGCAATCATTGTTTTGAGCGGGGGAGGAAGGGGTGGCAGAGGGGGGAAGGAGTTGAAAAACATATATAATCCTAAGCAATTTGAAGTGCTTGGTATTCTCTCCACCATTTCCACATCCTGAGGAATTCTAACATCAGCCATTATCAAGTTTAAATGATATGCATCTCAACTGCTGAATTTAGTAACATTAAATGTACTTAGTTACTCAAGATTTCAGTTCTACCATGCCCAATGTTCTACCTGATTCTCAGTGCTGCCTCGTAATTAAAACTATCTTACCTACTGATGCTAGATGCTTGAACAACAGCAGCTAAGTAGCAGTGGCTAACACAGATTATTGGCAAGAAATTTTGCAATTAATACAGTTATTAGCAAAAATATATTCTTTCTTTAAAGTTATTTTCTGGCTTGGAAACATTCTTATACAGAATAAAGTATATCTAATTTTACAAGTAGTACTCGAGAAGAGCTTAAAACTGTTTGCCTTTAGATGCTGTTATTAAAAATTAATCCATTTAGGATTCTATAAAAATGCTAGTTTGTTTATTAATGAATTGGTATTTTAGCTAAGTTAGTTCCTCACCATTACATGAAAAAACAGTTTTGCTTACTTGTCAGGATTCTCCTTGGGTGCTGGGAATGACTGTGGATTCACATGAGCCAGTGTAATGAATTCATTCTTCTCCAGGTTTCCAACTAGAATACGGATTTTTGATTCCACCAAGCCCACCCTGCATAAATGTCATTTATTAGCAAGTTCTCAATAATATGAAATAATAGAAGTATCTATCATCATATATGAGGATAAAATCCTCAACATTCTTCTTATACTAATATTTGAGACTACAAATGAACTAGTGCACTATACATGACAGATTAATTCAGATCAATAAACCAAGCGAATGCATTACAAAAACTAATGCAAGGGAAGCTTAAGAGTGCCCTGAAGCTCTCATTACAACCTGATTTTACAAACAGAATTAAATAGCAAGACATTACACATCAAGTAAAAGGCAGTCAGCAAGAAACTCCTACATATTTCTCCAATATTCTTTGGCTTCAGATGATGAATTTTAAAGTTGAAGAAATTCCCAATACCTGACAATTTTAAAACTTCTCTAATAAAAGAGAGCAGAAACAAGGGCAAGAGGCATTTTTCTTTTGAGAACAGTATTTCAAGAGATTGAGAACATACCTCTTCACACTGCTTATTAAAAGTGCGTAAGGCTTAAGAAAATAAGATTTGTAAAGTGAACCTGACAGTGCTGTGAAGAAGCAAAATTCAAGCAACAGCCTTTGCTCCCTGGTTCTTCATTTTTACTGTTTTTCAGAAGCGTACCATCTTCATGCGTTTAGTTTTGAAACACTGACACTCCACTTTGTTTCATTAAAAAGATACTAGATACACTAGATATTCCCTTGCATCCAAGGTTGACAGGTTTTTGTTTGGTTTTGTTGTTTGGTGTTTTTTGTTTTTCTTTTAAATAGCAAGCATTATACTCACCATTCTAGTCGCTGTTTTTCTGTCGGTGCGCTTGCTAGAAGTACAATATAATGCCTTTGGAGATAAAGACAATATGCTATTCTATTTATACTTCTAAAACTAGACATTCAAACCTTAATATTAAAACTTTGCAGTAAGTTCTACATTGCAAACTACAAATTATTAGCTTAAGTATATACCCTGTAATAAAATTAAGCATTGTTAAGTAGACAAAGGGGCTATGTCCCCGAGTGTGTGACTAATGGACTTTTTGAAACATTTCAGATTTTAGGGACATTTGCAACTACACTTTAATACCAGTAACCTTAATAAAAGGCTAGGAATGTAGCACTAGTTGAAAAACAGTACGGATATTTCACTACCTAATGAGATCTGGGATTTAACGGACTACTAGAGATTCCTTCCAAGTAAAAACAATTGTTCACAATATATGTCAGTTGTCTTAGTTGCAACATTATTTCTGATTAGTTAGAAGAGTGGTTAGCACATATGCATTGATTCAAAGTCAAAAGTAACACTATCAAATGTGTTTTTAAAAAAATGTATCTGCATTTTAGAATTGGCTGAAGACACTTATCTGAAACTTCACAAGAAATGTTTCCTCTGATGATAATCTTAAGTTCTCAATTACATTCCAGGATAATCAGTGTATACCCACTGTAAGTAAATTTCAAAGAAACAGTATACAAAGCAAGAATGTATGACTTTCTTTAAACAAAGAAGCCCAACAACAGTGGAATGGGAGACGATTACTTGTAACTTGAGTTCATAATGAGGGAGGTGGGGGAACCTTACATGTTACAGTCAGGTTTTTCAGAGGCTTAGCTGGGAAGTCTATTTTAACATCCTAAGTCATCCAACTTGGCATTAGTCTATACTGATATGGTACATTTAGGTGTCTTCAGAGCAGGATTTCAAGAACAGTAGTAACATGAGGAATTAGACCCTAGTACATATACCTCATAGAAAGGAACACAAGGTCAATGATAGTGAAAAACCGTGGTGCAAAAAGAGTCCTCTGATGCTATAGGCCTTCAAATCTTAACAGTAAATCAAAATCAACAGACCAAATCAGTAACTACATCTTTCTGTACTTAACTTTAGGTGGTGAGAGAAAAAAAAAAAAACCTGCTAAATGCTACAGTCCTTTGATTCAGTCAGAGAATGTCAATGAAATAAGAGGACTGGAAAAGAGAGATTTGGAGAAACTTCTTCCCCCTTCTCAATAGGGCATTTTATCTACTTTTTTTTTTTTTTTTGCATTTTGGCAGTACCAACTGCTTCATGCAAAAATGTTAAGGAGTTTTCCCTGTTACCTTATTGAAATCCTCATTTTAGTTACTTGTAAGATAACATGACTCAATCATTTATACCCCAAAAAAAGAGAATAAGGGTCCTTCACTCGAATTCTGTATGAGAAGTTGCTAATTTCTAATACCAATTTCTTCTAAGGAGCACTAGATATGCAACTATCATCCATAAGATTCCTACATCATACATACCACACACACTTGCAGAATGTTTCATTTAGTAGAAAAGACAACTTAAGCTTTTTGTTGTTTTTAACAATGTATGATCTGAAAGAGACAAATCTCAAATCTGCAAGTATTTGAGGAAACTCATTTTCCAGTTACTTTGAAACAAATTTCTGAAGAACAATTTCGAAAAAGATTTGAATTTGGCTATGTCTAAAAGACTCAACTAGCTGGTGAGCACCTAGGAAAAAAAAAAAGACCCTAAGCCTTATTTATGAAAATAAGTGTAATGATTAGCTATTTTTGCTCAGGTAGTGCTAGCTGAAAAAGAAAGAAAAGAAAAAGATGCAATTTCTCCTCCCCACCACCCCCAACTGCTAAGCAGTGCTAAGAAGGAATTAATCACTGGAAATCTGCTATTGCCATTTTCAGTGAAACTTAAATAGCACAAGCTGTTAAAAATTAAGACATACTTAGTTTTATGGTCCAAGGTCTCACTGCTAAATTTTACAAAGACAAAATTTGTTATCAGTTCATTTGTAATTTTATCACAAAGAACACATCTAATTCAGAAGTATACATTACTTCATGATAAAGAAAAAAAAATTCTGATATTAAGCTTCTACCTCTCAATGGTGATTTTTAGACGCAGGGCATTATTTTGAAGTGTACAGGTTTGGTCTTTTTTTAGGTTTTTTGTTTGTTTGCTTTTTTTATTTTAGAAACTTGTACTGTTTCTCTCCTATTGTCTCCCTATCAGCACTACGTTTTCATAAAAATAACCCAATGTAGGTATTATGGAATTGTCTTCCACGATTATCACCTGTACCTACAAAAAAACAAAGTATTTTTAATTCATACAACTTTCTGAAAAAACTGAGAACACCTGAACATATGTATTTCAATTTTTCTTTATTAAGCTCTCCAGGATTTACACTTTAAATTACCCAGTGCTTTAGATAAAGTCCTATCAAGTCAAGTGCTCAAAGTACCTTTTTAAAAGGTATGTTTATATTCTACTTATTTAGCAGGACATCTGTCTTTATAACAGAGAACAACATGCTAGAGCTCATTAAATGAGTGTTATTTCTCTCATGACCATATTTCCCTCTTGGTTTTAAGCTCTAAAAATTTCATTCTCATGTAACACTTCATACTCATGTTATATCCATTTGAAATTATTCTTGTCATTTCCCTGTAAAACACCATATCCAGCAAGTGTATGTTCTTTGTTGTTGTTCCCCCCATGTGAAAAATTTAAACCTACATGAAGGGCAGGTTACACATGTTATAACTCCCTAACTCCAAGTAATTGTTGACATTTTAAAAATAAGAAAAATAAATAAAATAAAAAAAGATTTCCCCATTTTCCCAACTTCTAATCTGCTCCTGCCATGCAGGTATGCAGTAGCCTCCAGATTTCCTCAGTCACACATCATTGAAGTTTATTTATTTTAAACACAGCTAACAAGTCAAAAGTGTTTGCGATCAACATAGATGTTTAGCAACTAATTGCCATTAAGGGTGATACAAATTACTAAAGCTATGCTTTCAGAGAAGAAATGTTTCTAAAAGTATGTCTCAGAGAAAGGATCAGATCTTCTCTTATATGGCAGAGCACTACACGCTGCTTTGAATTTCAGCAGTTTTTTCAGGAACAAGTCAAGGCATCTACAATTTAAACAGGAAGAGAGTGTGAAGAGGGGGAAAAAAATCCAAAACATCTAGCTTTCAGATGGAGATTTGACCAACAGAGCCACATTTATTGCATGCTGATAATGGCATATAATGGTTTTATTTCTTAAGGGTTACTAACCAAAGCATTAAATTAACTTACTAAGGTAAAACAGAGAAAATCTTGGGTAATTTAAATTAAAGCAGGCTCCATAATACCATTCCACAGTTAAAAAAAAAAATTAAAGCAAAGACATTTTTGTCCAAAACATACAAAACCTGGCTATTTAATGTTGGCAAGAGAAGCTTTTATTGCTAAAACTGATAAAATGGCTAAAGCTGGTACACAAAAGGCTGTATTAAAATGGAGATTATTTCAAATAACATTTAATGTTTCGTATTTTTTCCTAGTTTTGAAAGAAACAAAGAAAATGTACTAAGGAGCTTATTAGCAACCTCTTGAGCAGAAACTGATTTGTCTGCAGCCCATTTCAAAATATAATATATATTCAAAAAATAATATAACTTTACAGTGCTCTTAAGTGTTTTCAAACTTAATCTCCAAGGTACAACATAAAAGCCATCCAAATGTTTTAAAGCTTTTATCATGCAAAAGGTATAGAAACAAAACACAGACACATTATGAAGGTCATCAGTCTCTTTTAATGGGGGAACTGTATATTTCAATCTTGTTTAGATTAGTACATAACCAACCAACCACCCAACACAGAAACAAGTGTAAAATATATTTGATCTTGATTCAAGAAAAATGGGTCTCCAATTTCAACTGAGGGCAAAGAAGATGTAGTCCGTATTTTAATAATCCATATTTATTATAAAAATACAACTTTCAGCAAGTCCATATACATTTAACAAGCTTCTGCCCCACAAGCATATTACTAGAAACCCTAAAAATGTGAAGTGAGAACTTCAGTATTTCCCTTAAAGACATTACAAAATTAGAGAAGCTAGGTGTGAAAGAGTATTAATAAAGAGCCAAAAGCCTTAAGCTTTAATGAAAAAAATCTAGTAATAACTAGTACATCTGGCAGTTAGTCAACACAATTGTAAAAATATCTTTTTATTATCAGCGTGAACTGTTGACTATATTGACAGAAGAAAACACAATTTCAAGTACGTATTCATCTTAAATATTGACCTTCAGAATTAGTTCTCTTAATATCTTGTTTCCTGGGAGGCAAGACCCATTTTTAGAATGCTTACTGACACCGCTAAAGAACATGTCTGTTAGTCAAACCAGCTGATACGTCTTCAATTTTACCGGTAGCATACCAATTGTATAGTTAACTGGTGACATTCTAAATATCTGGTCAGGGACTAACAGGTTTCTGAAATACATGCTAAAGACAAAAAAAAAACAAAACAACAAAACAAAACCAAAAAAAAGTATCTGAGGCAATTATTCATTTTCTAAGAGAAAGGACAATAGTGCATTCACTCCCCTCTGTATAGAAAAATCCTAACAAATCACTTTTTTTGAAGTGTAACGTGTGTATATTTAAGATCCTGTGCTACAGATCATCATTAGATATTTTAACTGATAAAATTTAAAATATTCTGCCATGCCATAAAATACATACTTGTACTTTTGAAAGAAGTTTGGAGCTTCAAAAAGTTTGGACCACTCTGCCTTACTCAGCAAAATTTCATCTGTGATAGCAAGACCTGAATTATAAAAAAACATTTAAACTTTTTTTTTTAAATACAGTTTAGTACCCAGAGTAAAAACAGCTTATTAACTTAGCAAAGGTTACTACAAATTATTTCCCCCCTTCAAATTCAAAGGAATTTATCAATAAGCTTTATAATCCAGTCATACCTTAAGTGGTCATTAGTTATACAAATCATATTATTAAAATGAACCGTAATAAAATACGTTTAGAAATCTATGTTAATTGATCAGTCTGATGATTTCACGTATTTTTGCTTTGCAGTGTAACACAGCTCAATTTAATCTTTTGTGTATGCCACAGTAACTACTCAGTCCAAAGAGGACAGAAATCTTTTTCCTTAGAGTACTTGAATCATCTCTTGTGCAAGGCATTGTACAAGGCAACAAAGAAACAGTGAGACAATAAGCTACTCCTCTGCCCGAGAGAGCTACTGGTAGTTGCTCTCTGCATCAAGCCTACTCCTTGCTTTGATAACATTTTCTCTTATCTACTATAATTATCCAATTAGATTACTAGGACAAATCTAGAGGACTCATCTCTGAGCAAGTACATTGTCTTATATTAGGCCCAGAAACCACCATCAAGTGGGATTACTATACTAATCTTCCATGTGGCATGACACAATCTAAAGCCACTAAAATAAACAAAAAAAATATATATTGTACCATTAATTCTCATTTTCAGAGCACAAGGCATTCTAATTAACTACCCTCAGTTTCTAAGAGTGAAGTCTCTACTGAATTTAGAACTTCAAGCCCTATAAGCATAACAGGCCAAGCTCTGCCTCCCTTGGAAGAGAGACTCATGTCAAGCAGCTATTTAACATCCTCCCACCTCCCCCCTCACAAAGCATACCCACAATGGAACTATTTTAAATCTGTTAGAAAACATTTATATAGAGAGCATAAGATAATACTTACCTTGTTTAAATTCCTCAACCATGACCATCCGTGTGGAAACGGACACATTGTAGGTAGAGTTCTGCTGTGGGTATGCTGGTGTAATTATAGGCATAAGATGGTACCTATCACTGGGGTTTACCTATATATAACAACAGCCAATCAGTTTTCTTCAAGCATACACATGAGTTAACAAATTTGGATTTCTCCCTTTACTACAACTGAGTCTTAAGTTCTAAGAGACCTTAGTTTGCAGACCAAGTAAATTTATCAACAGTTCAGAGAAAGTTTAGAAAACACAGATAATGCTTTCACAAAAGACATCATTCTGAACCACAGTGATGTGGGAGGGCTATAACCTGTCAACATATCAAGATCAAGTTGCAGGCATTTCTAAGTCCAGAAATACCAACTGAACAGAACAATTTCTCTCTTTAATACAAATTAGCTTGTGATCACATCAAAACAAGGATACCTTATCACTACTTGAGCACCTTCAGAAGAATGACTGTCTTCAGACCTTGTGAAAAATATTCTATACTTTATTTCTGTAACTCTACTGAAAATAAAGAGCCAGCTTAAAATGAGAGGCTCCAGGCAACCTGACAGAAGCATCACTTGCGTTAACATATCTTTTATTAAACAGCACACAGCGAAACAAAAAAGGAGGGACAAAACACACACATGCAGAATACATTTAAAATGGTATTAGGGTAGCAATCTTATAGATTGTAAATTAAAGATAAAACCCTATCATTAACTTACCCCACTTTGTTTAGCTGCTACAACACAGACAGTTCCCATCACACACTGACCTCAAACCCCCTATCCCAGGAATAACATTAAGACTCAAGAACACTTTTTCAACTGTCTCACATCATTTAAACGTGGACTTTTGTCAACCAGAAAAACAGATTTGAAGTACAAAAGGGCAGACAACTCAACCTCTGGTGTTTACACTATTCACCAAATATCAGTTGAACACCAACTATTCTAAAATTGACAAAATGGGATTAAACACATTCACACTATGCCCTACTGAAACCTAGAATGTGAGCTGCGCATCTGCTTTATTGACTCCCTGAAGGACATTAACGTCCAATGTCCTTAATATAAGTGCTACAAAGATGGAGATCAAATATTATAAATAATATACAAAACAACTTAAAGACTTCAAGTTACGATGTTCTTTGGTCCAAGATGAAAAGATACATTACTACAACTGTATGGAACCGAACTTATCCAGCTGTGACCGTTGCACTGAAGTGAATTCAATATACTTGCAAAAGTAATAGGTTTTAAGTCAGAAGCAAACCATTTTAAGATAAGCAGTGTTTCAAAAATGCATTGCTTTAAAGCGTACATCTAATTACGCTGAAAATTTATTAAGATCACTTATTGCAAAAGTCAGGTGTAAGAAGTACATTGTTCAGCAAGTGTGCTTCAAGTGGTCAGTCTAGAAAATTAAGCTTTGTTCCACACTCAGGAGAACCAGAGGTTACTTAGAAAGAAGACATAATACCAAAATATTAAGTTTAATAAACCCGAAATGAAGTTCACCTAGGATTCTTTAAGCAACTGAATTTATTGTACAGTGTGACTTATAGGGGAAAAAATAATACACTAACCCTTGGGTCCCATACAGGCAAATTAAGATTGCATTCTTCTGGCTGTTTCAATAGCACTGGATTTGGCCATTCCCTGTTCAAAAAGATTGTAGCACTGAATAAGACTATTGGATACAACCACTTATGTTCAACAAACAATACTTTTGAATGTGATCCTTCTTAACTCTGCTCTCAAGGTAACGCATCATTTCCTCAAGACTAAGCTGGTCTAACTGGTGTAGTTTAAATAAGCTGTATTGCTGAACTGCAATACAGCTGTAATTGGCTTCTCCAGGGCATCAGAACAATGAATTTTCTGTAGTCTTGGAGCTTTATAACTACTGGTTTAGGTAACTAAAGTAAATTCCTCTAAATTCTTCTTGAAATACATCTATCAAAGAGAAAATCCTCTATGAAGATTGACATTGGGTCCATCTTCAAGCTAGCTGTTTCACGGACAAACTACAAAAGAAACACCCAGCATGATTACAGCATTGTAGTATCATTACAAAGCACATGTATTTAAAAAAAAAAATTCCAATCAAGACAAAAAGGAACCATGCTGAATGAAACACTAGGGGGAAAAAAAAAAATAAAAGAGAAAAGTAACACTTCTGTTCTTCAAGTCGTCTCTACTCCCATGAGTAAAGTTATCTTCCTATAAAGAGCAGAAGTCAGTTAATCTCTTGGTATTGGTACACTAAAGCTCCTACATTATGCACATATAAAAGGGACAGCAGTATAAGGAACACATTAAACAGAGCTTGCAACCCATTTTCCTCTATTAGTTGATTGTGGCAAGATATTACTAAACACTAGGCACCTCAAAGAGGCTATAAAGCCTATGGATTCAAGACACCGAAACCGTGGAAGTTATCTTCAGGTTAAGAAAGACACTATACTTGAAGTAAAGCAACAACTTGGTATGATGATTCTTAAATCTGTCAACATGTCAAAGAATATAGGTATCCAGACATGCTTCTTCAAGAGAGAGAGTATTCATTTGTAATCTGCAAAGTACACTTTTGTCCCATTTGTTCTAAATCTACTTGGAATGTTCCCATTGTTCCCACCAGTTATTCAAGGTAACTACTACTCTGAGGTAACTAGCTCAGGAGTATGAAACCATATGTAATTCCAAAACACCTACCTCTCCACACTGACAAGATTAAAAACCACACTTTTGCCACTGGTTCTCCTAAACTGCATTTAGGCTATGTACCTAAACCAGATACAGACATACCTCCTTTTCCCACTATCCCAGTATCAGAATGCTAAAAGACTTTAAATTTTGAGGTGTCTGCTCTTATTTTGCACTATATAAATATTTTATCTGAAGAGTACTGTTGGGTTACAACAAATACTTAAGAAAATTTTAATTAAAAACTGGGTGGTTTTTTTTTGTGTACTTTAAGAACAAGACATGTTGGATGACTTACTGAAAAACTCAAGCTAACAACTTTCTGACCGCAAGAACAATGCTTATAACTACCATCTTAATCTGGTAACAGCTGAAAACGATACCATAAAAACAGGACTAAAATTTAGTGTCTACAAACAATTTTATTTTAGTGTAATCTAAATTAAAAAAAAAAAACATACCATTTAGAAAATACCAAGAAAAATTTATGTACAAGAGTTGATGCTATTGCATTTGGATAAAGCTGGCAAGTTCTTGCTACGAGCATAGCCCAGGAAACACCGCCAAGGAAACCTAGTATATTGGAATAGATGTTGTGGCCTGTGGATTGAGAAGGAAAGAGACAAAAGGAGAGAGTTATTAGTAACCATGAGAGTTAATGAAAACTTCACAAATTTTGGCAAAAAAATGCTTACGTTTTGCCCACAGTTTGATAGCTCTCAGTGTTAACCTGAAGTTGTCAATGTTTGGTACTAGATGCAGAATTTCATCGGTTACCCGGCAACCTGCCAAAAGAAAGAATCCATTATGCTTGCTGCCTCCAAAGTTTTTTGCTTGCTTACCCTCCCTCACCTTCAAATCTATCAAACTTTTTAGATCAGTATGCTGGAAACTCACTTCGTATTTTGATCACTGTTGAGTTAGAAAGGTTAACATATTTGCCTTTGATTTTTTTTTTCCCCCCCTCTTTTACTGTTTTACAGCAGCACTCAAGACAACAATTCATGAACACATAGTTACAGGTTCGGACTGCTACTTGATTTTCTGTTATTAATGAACTGCATAAGCTGTTTAAGAAACAAACAAGTTTTAAGTTCTGCTGTTGTGGGATTACATATCATAGAACGTGCAGACAAATTAAAAAAAGAATAAGTCTTCATGGACCTACAGAAAACCTGGAAGACATAGGTCAAAGCTTTGTTTGAATTTACGAGAACGGGCTAAGAATAATAGTTTTTAAACATACGAGTTGTATCATTACTTTGATAGGATATTTTGGGGGATTAAGAATAACACTACAGATGACAACATTAACTGCTTGATTTTTCTTTTTTTAATCAAGAATAAGTAGTTGTTCATTGCTACTAAATAGTTGTGGAGAGCTGGTTGCAAGAAGATAGTATTAGCTAAGACTAGGAGTTCCTTTCAAAGCAAGTAAGAGGCAAGTATGAATTCCAGAGACTGCACAAATATGAATTTCACAAAACAGTGCAAATTATTGTTGTAATCTCAAATTATCAAGTTTTCAGCTCATAACCTAAATCAGTGGTATCTCATACACTCCTCTTCCCCGCTAAGTTTCGTAGAGGCTGAAGCCCCTACCATCCTGTACATAAATAACGATTTTTTAAGCTGCGGTATTATAGAAAAGTTAAGGGTTACACAAGCTCGTAAACTCCTAAAGACGTGACCTCAAACTGACAGTATTTTGGTACCCCCAATTTATCACTGAAGCACTTTTGTATATGTTTATGGATATTAAAACACATACAAATTAAAAAACATGCACACATCTATCTTTATAGAAATAGATAGTGCCCCACACACAAGTCTTGCAAGTCCCATTAATTTTTAGACAGCACCATTTATTACCCAAATAAAAGAAAAAAAAAAATTTATAAAAAAGTGGCCAACAAGAAACAACCCTTCTCTCTAAAAAGATAAAAACTGGCTATGACTATTTCCAGATATGAAGTTGCTATATTTTCAGTCAAGTCCACAACTCCTGTATCAAACAATCTAGGATACTTATTAAAAGATCAGACAACAAGTTTATATGCAAAACTATATATACATACCATTAAGACTTCGTATGCATCTAATGTCTAAATTTTTAAGTAGGCTATCGTCTCGTAGGTCTAAGTCCTCAGGAATAGTTTGCAGTGCTAATCTTGCAAACAAAATATCAATCTTAAAAAAAAAAAAAGAGGTAAGACATTAGAAAACTTTTTTCTTCCATAGAATTAATTCTGTAACCCATTTTCATCAAGTTTACCAATAATAACAGTCTTCCTAGTACAAAGAATCTCTTTAAACAATACATACTAACACCCTTCACAGACATTAAAAGAAACCCTTTCAGATGCTTCATGTATCTTATGGCTCCTTTTCCAAAAGGATAAAATACATATTAAGATCAATAAAGAACCAGCACACACATAAAAACTGTGTTGACTGTCAATGTAAATAAAAATCATTTGGGGACAAGCTCCACTTCTAGGTCCAGAATACAAAATTCTACTACATCAGAGCAAGTTGTGAAAATATAACCTAGTTTTAACCTAAATATTCTCAAAACTATCACTGAATTGCAGAAGAAACAGGAGACCTTTCCCACTGTAAAGCATATGTGCAACTAGTTGCCTCTGTATAGGACCAGTTATCTATGAAAAGTCTAGATATCTGATTACAGAAAACAGGAAGTTCTGCAAATCCAGCAAACTACAGAGAAACTCTATAAATTTGTATAAATTTTGAAATTACGCCAAATTTCTTTGCTAGTACTTCTCCTATAATTTGTCATCACAGCTTTTCTAGGTCAAGAACATCTAAGATACTATTCAGCCTTGAATTATAGTTTTACATTGTCCCATACACAGCAAGGACATGCACAGAGTAGGGAAGTCAGTTTGCCTTTCCAGTCTTAGATTAGGTGTCAGTCAGTCAGTATGATGAGAATATAAAGTACATAGCAGCAGCTGGTCTGCTAGGCAACAAGCCCCCTTCACCAGATGAGGCTTTTAATGATCAGAAACTGGTACCACTTCACCTACAAGATGATGAAATACTTAGTGCTATTGCACCAAGAATAAAACCATTTTAGTTACAATAAAACTATTTCAGATAAAATGAAGCTGAAGATACCAATGAAGAACTTTTTGTAGGTGCTTAAAACGTTGCATCCATCTGTTTTAAACTATGAAGCACTTCTCCAAAGGAAAGTAATTTCTAAACTATTCAGTGCACTTTTGTTTTTAAAGTCTTTAATAGCTGGTCTTAACAACATTCCATACAAGTAGAAGTTTCTACTTCAGTTAGAAGTACTACTTTTCAATGTAAAATAAGTTCAAAATTAACTTCAGCTTGAAGTTCTATTCTGATCTCTAGAAGGTCTATCACCTCTAAAGATTCAAAGTTTATTGACAATAAAAGGATTTTTCAAATTAAGAAATTAATAGCCTGTCCTATGTCATTTAGGGGCAGGTGTCAGTTTTCTACAGGAAGAATAAAAAAAAAAATCAAGAAGGTTCTTGTTCATTTTAAGCAAGAAAATAAAATGCGTATGTAAAAACTGCTATTGGCAGAAACTTCTGAAGTTTAACTGACAGGATCACCACAAAACTAAAGTCCTTTTCCTCAGTTCTAAGCTTTTCTTTACAGAGACAGTAACTTCTGAAACCTTTTGCCTGGATGAGGAAAAGGAAAATTAAATTAAAATTTTCTGATACTGACATACTGGGTACAAAGGCAACAATCAGAAACTGTGGCCTAACTACACTTGTATATATAGAAACAGTGCTTGTAAGTTAGTGTTCAAGACTAGAGAACTCTCATGCACTGTCAGTAACACGGGTTAAGTCTCCGTCATAAGCCTAAGCCATCAGAGCCCATCATAAATTACTATAGTGGAGCAAGATACTACTACTCTTATAGCAGACAATCCTTTATTCCCCTATTTAGGCTCATCTCTCCTTTTTTAAAAAAGGAGTGACAACACTGGCTTGAATGTAAATGATTTAAAAAAACCCAAACATACAAATAACAGACTAACCAGAGGCTGCCTATGGCAAGTTTCAATATTTAGAATGAATACTAAATCTATATAAACAGAAAACAGATTCTCCAGAAAAATGTTCCTAATACGCAACTGCATATGGACAGTAATAAAATGGCTGACACAGATGCAAAGTCACAGGCTAGCTTACTGCATGGTATTACATTTCTCTGCACATCTCTCTCATTTGGAGAAAATACATCTCTCTCCCTAAGTGTCAACTGACACAAATGTCAGTGAAAATAGAAATAAGTAAAGCTGGATGGATGAGGGCAACAAGGGTGGTTCATCCTCTTCCTGAGATACAAAAATTGCTAGTACCCTAACTAATGACCATTATAATTGCAAGGCAGATATTTAACTCAGACTAGAAGAAAAGGAACTGTCCAGCCTTCCACACAATACTACAGCTCTTCAAATCATGTCATGTGTCAGAAGATTAGCATGGGAATTCTTTCCCCACTGTGAAGTACCCTCCTTATACCCACCAGTAACTGCTTGACATAATCCAGGTACAAGTCTGATGAACTGTGTGTATGAACAGTTTGTATGTTTTTGCCTTGTCACCAAGAAAAGATCACAGGTTGGCTATAAAACAGCCCAAGAAAGATTAACAGAGTATCTTTGGAAAGCAGTTTTCCTGTTTTCTCAGCAACTCCTCCCAAAATAGTAAAAATCAGGTTAAGCAAGTTCATCACTCCAAGACAGCTGATCCATCAAGCTACAGGCAAACCAGATAGAAAGGGGCAGACCAAAACCATTGATTTGGTCATGTGTTTACAGATGTCTGAAGAGATCAGGACAAACAGGACACCCAGTTTGCCTTCAACAGTACATTTCTGAGAACTGATCAAAGATCACATAACTTCCTATAGGATAAGGTATTGAAGCAAATCTGAATTTAAGGTTTGGGCAGTTAATCATTAGCAGCCAAAAAATTACTGAAGCCACATTATTTATGAATATAATTTCTATTAAGACTTAACATTTAATAATGCCAATACTGGTACTCTACAGGTCAGTAAAGTAATCAGTACAGGTGGGCAGCAGTGGCTAAAAAAAGAACAGGGAGATATTCTACATGTAGCTTTAAGTACATCAAGAAAGACTTGTCTCAATCTTAAAGCCCCGCTTTAAATTACACAACTGAGGACCTTTGTCAAGGACTTGGGTATGGACTTAGGAGAATCACTTTAATAGCATTCATATTAATGACTACTACATGAGTTATAGAGATCTTGAAAACTTTGTTTTAACTATGTTCTACCAAAACAAAACAAAAGAAGATCTTTACCTCTATTCCATCAAAACAAAGTTTAATAACTGGGACAAAAGCTTCTTCAACAGCCTGGGGGGGAAAAGTTAGATTTTATTTTCAGTATAAAGAAGAACATTTACAAGCAATAGCTAGCAGGACTAAACAATCATGATGAAATCCTATACATACAGATGCTTTTCCATTTTCAGGTTGATTTTTGTCAGCAACGTCTTTCTCCACCATTGAGGATTTATGCAGTAAGCACTGATCTACCAGTTGCTGCAGCTGTCTAGATGTTAATTATAACTCAAACTCATACCAGCCAGCTCTGATGGTGCTACCTCAAGGTCCAACTCTCTTTCTCACCACATGTAGGACATGATCAAGCATCTTTTACTCCTCACAGCATCTCTAAGTATTTTAAGGCCAACCTATGGGGATTCTTACTCTAAGAGGCCTCTTACTTCTATTGTTTCTGCAGTCAGTATTTTATGAGAAATGACAAAGAGACAATTGTGCAAGCTATGCAATCTGACTTGACCTAAACCAGTTGCAAGTCACCAGTCTCCAGAGCTCGAGCATCTTTTCTAAATGTGGTCATTAATAAGGTACTCTGACAAACAGTATCTACAATGAAACTATGGAATTTGATGTCTACTCTGCAATCAACTAGGAGTATCACCTTCCTGAACTAAGGATCTGGACTAAATGCAGATCTGCAGACCACTGCTTTCATAAAAGCAAAGAACACTGCTTACTCCCAAATAACAAATGCTAGGTACTGCCAGGGGCTGAGTACAGCTCTAAGAGTGTTCCAGTTCTTAACAAGAGGAGGAGACAACAGTATTCTATGCACTTAACCTTAGTTAAGGTTACCTTAATGTTACTGGTTGGCAGGATGGATCCTAAGCAAAATATGAAGTTCACAAGTATCTCAGACTCACTCACTAGAGCAACCATTGAGAAAGTCTAGGTTCACTGAAGATGGAGATGTACAAACTTTCTTAGACCTCACTGGAGTGACTTAAAAGTGTTATGACACCCTGACCTAAAGGTTATTTGCATCACTGCAGAGCTACACTGAATAGTGTACATTGATCTACCCTGCTGCTAAATCAACATTAGCTTGAGTTAGACAGAGTTTATAGCAAAGTTAATTGGGAATCTGAAAATCAGAATCTTCTTAATTATAGCATGTGGATTTAAAGATTACTAGAAGTGTTCAGATAATAAAGCACTCAGAACAGTTGTTTCAGTGCATATAATATTACCACCAGATGTTTGCACTACCCTGGTAGTTACCAACTACAGGATGCATAGAGTGAAAGAATGCTGCAGAGACAGTCCTATTTATTTTATGGGAGCAGGACTAAACCAAAGTTTAATACTTGCCAGCAACTACCTTCATCTAAAAAGAAAGAATTACAGCAGAGAAAATATACTCTGAGCCAACACTGAATAGATTAAAGCTCCCACCAGGTGACCTAGGGAGGCTTGTCATTTAGGTAGACTAGAAACAAAATGCTGTATACCAGCGTGTCTTCCATTCTGACAAGGGAAATCTTTATCTTTACATGCTAAGCATCTAATAGTGAGATACACTAAAAATGTAACCTCCATTTTCAAATGCACAGCTGACAGCCAATATAGAAGGTTTAATTAATATCAACCACTGCAATTGTTTATATAAGCATGAAATTATAAAAACAGCAGCATAACAATATACTTCAAAACCTTCATTAAAAACACACAAGTTAGTTTGAAAAGGATCAGGACCAAACAGTTACATTTGCATCTGCCTGTTGCTAGAGAGCAAGCAGAAATTTTGCAATACTAACACACATGCTAGGAGATCATTCTGCCATCCAGATTTTAAAATGAGTGTGTCTAGTGAGTGAGAACAGAGAAAATTTGGAAAAATCTCTATTTCAACCACGGTGATAGGCTTTGCTGCAGGTTAACTAAAAATCCACTGCAAGCCATAATAGTGAAGTTATATTTACTTATTTAATGCAACATCTTTCACTATTAACTTTTCAGCATCATCACTTCAGCTAGCTGTATCAGGCAGTTCACATACCCTCAGATCTTTTACTTCTTCTTGTTGTTTCAGTTTTTCATAAAACGATGTGAAAAAATCACTTCTTTCAACATGTCTTGGTGCAACACACAGGGCATCAATATCAGCACCTGAAATTGTTTATTAGCACAAGTTACTCATACTTCACACACATATAATGCTAGCAATAGCCAGAATTTTTTTTTTTTTTAAACCAAACAGGAAAATATGGTTTCTCTTCCTGTAGAATGGCTTTTCTTTGGGAATACTAAGTCAAACCAAATGAAAATTAACAAACAAACAAACAAACAAAACCCCCACACAACCAAAAAACATTCATGGCCATTAAGCATACCGAATACATACATACATCCTTCTTTCAATTGTGGAACATTTGCAGTAATTTTCAAAGAATAAACCATGGGAAGCGAAGTATACAACTTTCTCTATTTTTAAATAATTCCAACTTTTTTGTCTGTTCCCCAACCCACGACAAGAACATAACATATGAACGTATTTCTCTTACTGAAAATGAAGACTGGAGATGGCTGACAAAAAAAGAAAAATAAATCTAACACCACCTCGACAGCAAGTTTTTGTAACTTTTACAGATACATCATTAGCTCAAACATAAAAGTCTTTATAATAAAAGTAAATGTTACCTTTTGTATGAACCCCTAATCTATAGGATCCAAATGTAAAAATTTTTCCTCCAACATTTTCTATTACAGACTGTGGAAGATTCTAAATGGAGCAAATAAAATTGGTTATTTTACCTTAACAAGTTATAACACCACACACAACTTATTTTAAAACAAGAGGAAAAATATTCCACAAAAATTTATGTCAAGGTATAGTTACTACTGAAATAATAATCTTAGTATTTACAGAAAAGACAGTGATATGTTTGCCACTTGGGAACTATTTGTAACATTTCAACTAGATTACATATTACTGCTTCAAACTTGGTAATTATTCCAGCAGTTCTACACCTCAGGTGCAACATCTTTAAAATATTATGGACATTAAACACATTTTGCTTAATACTCAGGCATTTTAGACCGACTTAGAAATTGATGATGGATTCCAATTTAGAGTAACAGAAAAATACTATTTACAGTACCAGTGTTTATTAAATTACTTTCACAGACACCCATACTACATTATTTAAATATAAGTTTGGTTTTGGGAGAAGTGTTTATTTCATGTTAAAATTGTTCAGGTACATATACTAAAGTTCGTAGATTTGTATCTTCAAAAAAACTCTTGAATCCACAGTACTGTGGGCAAAGACAGTTACCCTTTCGTAACAGGATGCAGTGTTACAGTCTGAAGCCCTACATTAATGGTCACGCAGCAAAAGATAGAAACAAACTGAAAATGAATTATTTTGCAATATATATTGGATTAATTTAAGTAGTTTCCAATCTTATACCAGTCAAGACACTCTCAACTATTTCGTTTTCAAGGATCGACACATATATAGCAGGGTTGTCATCCCCCCCATAATCCTGTTCATGGATAACTTCCCATTTCACAAGTGTACAGAAGAAATGCAATCCTAAATATACTCAAAGCAACATAGCTTAAAATATTAGTTTTTTACCCCTAAAAAAAGCCCCTTCCATCTTTACATTTTTGCAAGTCTATAGTCATTCAAAAAAGGTGTGTATAGGGGTGGGGGGGACTATAGCCTGGCAAAACTACTATCATTATTAGAAGCTACAAAAGTAACATTACAGGACTGACATTAAAGAAAAAGACCACAGATCATAAAGCTGCAAGAAGTCCATTTTAAGATCTAGCACTGGTTCACAAAGCCAAACAATCTAGGCATATAATTAACATAGTACTATACATATGTATTTTTACAAAAAGTCAAGCTGTATTTCTACCTAGGGAGAAGACGGAACAATGGAAAATTACTATTACAACTACCACACTTTTTCCAACACTTATGAGCTTCTTTGTCTGACAAGGTTCTACTTGGAAGGGGTGATGCTACCTGGAAACAAAATAAGCTACACAAAGGTGGTGTTTGTTTTTCCAGTTTGATCCCCAAATCTAAGATTCATCCTGGTTAGACCGGGAACATATTTTGGAATTATCTTCCTAGAGCAGTCTTAGTATGAGCAGTTCCATGTAAAATACCTCCATACCTTGCTTTCACTGATTTCCCGTATCCACTCCTTTACCAGGTTATTTAATTTTCCCAAAATTAGAATCCTATTGATAAAACAGCAGAATCACCAGTCATAAACTTAGACCAAACTAGCAGTATTTTTTAAGACCCCAATCATCATTACACAGTAAGTCAACTACAGCAACACTGCAGATCTAATTACAGATCTTGTCATACATATACACCCTGAAACAAAGTCACTCTTAAAACATTCCCACTATTTTTTCCCTCTTAAAGGTGTTCAAGTGATTTAAGCTCAGAAAACATGCAAGCATGCAAGGGCTACACACATTTTAGGTATATGAATTCTACTCACTTTCAAAATAAAACCTTAATTCATAAAATACATGCACCTAAAAGAACAGTGAGAAGCAGTACTGAGAGAAAAAAAACTCTAGAAAGATTGATAAGGGCAAAAAAAGCATAGGGGCCACTACAACAAAACAGTTATGAAGGAGAAAAAAATGCAAGCCAGCCTCCAAAATTTAAGGGCCATTTTAATTCCTTTCTGTGTTCCGAGGTATTTGTCTTAAGGGCAGGGGGTGGGGGTGATGGTGGATCAAGATTAATATTCCACTAGGCTTTTAAGAAAGCATTTGAAAGAACATAAACATGCTTGGGCTTCAGCAGTCAACTACGTGAACCTCAAGATAGGAGAAAACCACTGCTCGAATGAGTGTTTACTCACCTGCGTTGCAGTTCTTCCTCCTCTTCAAATACACCATAAGGTTTTAGGGTTTCGATTAATTTCTGGGTAAGCATGCAGTCAAACTCCTTGGGGGCAGCTAAACTGATAGGTGAGGTAATGCCATAATGCTTCTGTAGTTGCTGTGTTTGTGATCCCTGGGTTGTAACGGGACTAATAAAGGCAATTAGATAAAGTTACTGACAGAAACAAAACAATTTTTTTTTAATTATTTTTTTCTCATCAGAGTAGCAGACAACAGACACATACTAAGGAAATAAAAAGTTAAGCCTACTGTTAGCATTTACATCCCAGATCAATCTGCGTTAAATCTGTGTTATTAAGGACAACAGTAGAATTACATTTCTCTCACTCTGAATATTGATTGCAGGGTTACAAGTTGCTATGAGGCATGATCTTTTATATCAGCTGACTTCACACACTCAAAACACTCACATAAGTAAGGGGGCTTTAGTATATTTTGAGCCCAACAGCATCACAGAGTTAGCTTTAAGCTGACTCCTGGCCAGCATGAGAGGATGGTTAGACCAACGATGTCAGCTCAGTCTGTGGTGGTAATATTACATATAGCCTTGCTTCACTGGGGAGGTAAGGGGAGAATATCAGAGATTTGTGCTAGACTTTGCCTAGCCCAAGTACCAAGGTTGTAAGCAGTACTCTCCCCACATCCCTCATGTTTCCTTAACATGACATTTTACTTCATTTAAGTATTTATCTAAATAGCAGAGTAAGCCTAAAGTACACAACCCACTGCAATGAGTTAAATCTGCAAGGACCTAATTCACTAGCAAACAATTCAACTACAAGTCCTCATAGCATCCTTGCCTTGCACTTTTCAAGCCACACAAATGATAGAGCCAAACCTCAAGCACAAAGATGATACGCTCAAGTCAAACCCCCATAATTCAACGTTGCAAGAAATGAGCAGAGAACACAAAAGAACTTCAGCAGAAACATACAAGTAAAGTTATCATCATTCTGTGCAAACTACTAACAGCTTTCCTAGATGAGCATCCTGGGTGAAAAACATGCATTTTTTCCATAATGGGCATATTTGTTTATGATGTTCACATTTAAACACAGACTTATTTTCAGAACAGTTTGAGCTTTAAGGCTAGTAATTCTAAGTGTTTCAAAAATGAATTTGGTCCTGTGTAATATACAAGAGTTTACTCCAGTGATTACTGCATGCTACATCCATATAGTTAAAACTTGTGTGAACTGATACTAGCAACAGGTAGCCATTTAAAAAAAAAAATCTTAAACTTATTCAGTATTGTAGAATTATATACTTTAACACTTAAGATTGTCAAATTTTAAGAACACTTAGTCTTGCTCATTATATACTTCATAGGTTTAAAAATACACTACTAAAATCTGTATTTAAAAAGCTCTAAAGGTTACTTGCAGCATTAAATACTAGTTTTATATTGATAGACAGACAGCTTTCCTCTAAATTATGAATATCATTCCCCTACCTTTGATTTTTGAAAATGACACATCATTGGTTTTAAGCACACTGCAGTTTCTTTTCTGAAACTGACTTGTTACTTCAATTAATCAGCCTTTCAGAGACCAACAAAAACATTATAATCTCTCATCAAAATATGCATTTCAGAAAATATGGCTATTATAGCAACAGCTAGTCAAAAAGCCTTACCAACAATTAAAGCAAGTATTACCTGAAAGTTAAGGAAATACTTGTGTAGAAGTGTTACATCTGCATTATTTAAGTTATATTCTTACTACATAACATTATTCTCTTTCAAAGGCATAAAGCAACATTTTGTTTAATACCAAGTATATAACTAATATTTTAAATTCCGATTATGCATTAATATCTTTTTTTCCTGAATTCAATTTTTCATTCTGCTAGGGCAAAAGCTTTATCATCAATTTGGTTTCCTTCAACTTCCATAAAGTCTAAAAGAAAGGGAATCCTCCATGTCAAAAATGCAAGCTGACAGTTTATGTCAAAGCCCCATTTTTGGCAAGCATAACATTACCCTATATATTGTGGTATTATCAGTCCTTCATGTTTATACATGTTATATACTACTTCTATCATACAAAACAAGAAGCAGTTTTTCAGGCTAACTACATATTATGTGTGGAAAAACTACAGTACAACTTCACTTTTACTTCCATAATCTGTTGTCATCAATTCCTCAGGATTTCATTCCTCACTTCCATGAAGACTAAGTATTAAAAAAGAACATCCTAACTTAAAATTGACAGCAATGAACAAAACCTAATATAATTTTCCACAGGTTGAACCCTTTATAAAATTATTCTAAGTACTATAACGTTTGAAATCAAGAATTCAGTCACAATGCAATTTTTCTCACAAAGCAAGTTCTAGCACCTTTGTCCCTTTGCTTGTTAGCAAAAGGAAAAAAAAAACCTAAGTAGGAAAAAAATTACTAAAAACTATACATTTAAAAAAAAAAAAATCAACACCCAAGTAATCATGTCTGGGAACATTATCTGACATTGCTTCCTTCAGCTAAGAGGTTTTAATCACCTAATGAAGAATTCGGTATTAGCTGAACAAATCACACAGACCTTAGGACTTTATGTGTGAATGTAAACATTAAAAAAAAAAACTGTCCAGATGAATTATATGGAACAGTAATTCAAATTAATGACAAAGGAAGGCACTAATACAGTTTTTCTCTTTTTAAAAAAAAAAAAAAAAAAAAAAGAAAAAAGAAGATTTAGGAATGTCAACATGTCAACACAAATAGTAGCTTCAGGCACTTAGTTTCTAAAAAAGCAGTCAGAAAACAAAAGGTCTCAATACATAAACAACTTTTGGACATTATGAGTATTTTTACTCAGACCACAAAGCTTGTAGTTAAATTTTAACTACAATTTCTCCCCTTTTGCCAACTGTTAATTTGAAAAAAATATATTTACTTTTCAATTTAAGATTTTGTAGTTTATTTTTATAGGGTTTTAAAGTAGTAATCTAAAGCAATCAAGGTTTTAGTTTTGTGCAGCAATTACCTGATGGTCTGACTGTAATTTTCACCCATCCATAACTAGAAAATGTATCCAATTCAACAGATATTAGACTTCATTGAAAGGGCTGACAAAAGACAGCTTGGCAGAGGCTGTTTAATATTAGTTTTCAAAAAAAGACTCAATGTCACTCAGACCCAGATTAAGTGAAGCAGACTCCTGCAGTCAGTAATGCTTACTGAGCCCTCTGTCTTCCACCTACTTTTACAAGGCCATGCTTCACCAATTCCAGAACTAAATAACTTAAAAATAATCTTTCACCTTGCCCCCAAAATTACAATACATAAAAAACAACATCACATCGCTTCCCTGATCTAGTTAACAGCATAACCCTGGCAGTGCAATGTGCAGGTCCGTCTTCACAAAACACCATGCTGACGTGACTCAAACCAGACCAGTATTATCTCCAAACCCTACAGGACCATCAGAGTGTGGTCACAGGGCATGAAATAAGCTTTGAAACCATTCATTAAAACAGCAGCTTTAAACAACCTATTAAATCCATCATCTGATACACATCTTTGGGAATTGTTACACAAAAACAGTTACAGTTTTTACAGTTACAGCTGCTTTTATATTCATGTATTTTACAAGAATGAAACAAGCACGTTGTCAACAGCACAGGACCTTCCCATTCAGGTATTTCGCCTGTGTTTGAAGGTTGAGGAGTTAATAAGAATACTTTCACCGGGATGGTATATAACAATTCTCAACACAGCTGAGAACAAGCTCACAACAACAAACCTTCTAGAATATTTTACAACTCCAAAAGATACAATGAAGCTTACACTTTAACATACTAGTACTGAAGAGAATATAGGTTTTTTCCAGCTAAAAACATTTAAATTGAAGCTCAACTGTTTAAATCTGCTGAAGTTAAGACTGTTCTAAGGTTTCTGTAGCACACCAAAAATATATGAGAAGTGCCTTTGTAAAGTGAGGAAAAAAAATGGTGTTTGGCAAGAAAGTCTGCTAAACTCATTTAAGGATGTAATAAATTAACCAGTGCTAGGTAATCCTTTTTCATTTGTTTAAATGACAGCAAGTCATGAAAGTTACTACAAAATGAACAAGTAAAGGTATATCCTCTCCCCACCCCCTACCTTCTACAAAACCAAGAAACTTCAAATAAAGCATTTGCTAGATGCTTTTTAAATGAAAAGTAAATTATCACTGAGAAATAACTTTAAGTGCACATTTTTCAAACTTTAATGTGTATGTACACATTACATTTTAGCCAGAAACTGCTAATGATCAATATTCTTAGACTTCTCTCTTACTTTTTCCTAAAACCATGAAGATCACACTCTACTCTGGTATCTTCCCTCCTGAAAAGACATATGGACATTCTAGTTTCTACTTGTGACATGTCATGATATATCATTTTTGGAATACCTTAGTTCAAACTACCGAATTTATTCAAAGAGAAAGGACAGGTAAGTATCAATGCTAACCTTCTACCTGAGAGGATTAGGGAAGTTAAGGCCTTCAGAGGGGTAAGGGTGGTATGTCAAATCTGCTAGTCACTGAAGTTAAGCATTAACAAAAATCAAGAGTATTAAACAGCAACAAAAAGTCCCATCCCAGCTACTCAATCTTGACAACAGCAGAGGCAGATTTGGCAGACCTTGTCAAGGTCTCAACTCAAAGCATGTTTAGGGTTTGAGTTTTAAAAAGAAAAAAAAAAAAAAAAACCAAACCAAACACACACACACAAAAAACACACCCAGTTTTTCTTTTTAACATCATGAAGAAAATTAAGATACCATTTGGGACTTGTTTGTTTGTTTCTAGTCAACTACATATACACATGAAGATCTTGCTCTCCCTCTGCTATGAATATGAGCTACCTGTCAATAGCATAAATATAAAATAAAGTTGCAGGAAATGATGTAGAGTTAAATTAAACATGCTATTGTTGTTGCTCTGCTTTGACCTGAATTTTTGAAGAGCGTATGCTGACAGTTTAAACCACCTGCAAATCGGGCAAGAGCTACAGTGGTTTAATTCTAAAGTGTTATGATCCATTATTTCATATTCAAATATGAATTAATCTCATCTCTCAGAGAAATGCACATGTATTTTTCCCCCCACAAACAGACAGAAAGTTCTCATCTGTACTAAGCTGACAGCAAGT